CCCCTTCCCTATTGGCCTGCTTGTGGCCTTAACCTTTTCAAGATCTCCAACCCCTTTTGAGAATCCAATACGTTATGTAACATTGTCCCTGGAAAATGTACCCACTTGGGCTCACATACATAATTTAACACACAATTTCTGGGATCTGCAGAGCTCCTCAAGCCCATTCAAAGAGCCCTTGGAGACCTCTGGTTAAGAACCCCATGGTTCTGGGATTAAGACTTGAGTCAGAAAAAAAAAATAGTCTTCAAATCTTAGTGATTCTAAAATAGGCTGTGTGACTTTGGATGGGTTACTTAACTTCTCTGGGCCTCATTTTTCTTATTTGTAAAATCAGGGTAATAACAGAAGCTACCTCACAGGGTTGTAATATATGAAATGAGTAAAAATCTTAGCCGGAAGCCAGGCACACGCAGTAAGGGATTATGGTGTTTATTGTCATGGTTATTGTTGTTGTTACTGCAGATGGTGGCCCAGGGCAGAATATAAAAACCAAGTGGGCAGTCCCGGTTCAGCCAGGGTGGCAGGAGGCCATCTATCGGAGGAGTCTACTTCTATAGCAGAAGAAACACTCTCTGAATTCCACAAGGAGAGTCAGAGGAGCAGTTGCTCAGGGGACAGAAATGACCCCAATTGGTGGTCAAGTTAGCTCGTGTCAAGTGGTGTCAGAACCTTTTCTTTGGGGCAGCTCTGGCCTGAGGGCCAATGCTGGTGCTTACACAAATAATCTGGAAACAAATGGGGCTACCACAACAACCTGGATTCAAGCCGATGGAGCCTTTGGGGGTTCACTTGGATTATTCTCCTGAGCTAAGGAATAAGTCATTTTGTTTGGGTCTACAGGGTCCCCTTATCCTGGCAATTCATGCGATATGCTTTCCTTCCTCTTTGTCTGGAATAGTCACTGGAGTAGGGGGGAAAGCAGATATTTGGCAGAATAAACTCTTCCCCTTCCACTGGAGACAGAATAAGGCTGGACCCTGGGGGTACAGGCAGCAAGCACACAGTTGGGAGTCCAGGCTCTAGAGACAGGCATTCCCTCTGTGGAGCAAACTCAGGGGACAAGCTACATCCAGCTCCAGAGGAGATGCCACTGGCTCAACTGACTGGGGGTTGAGGATCCCACAATGTCTTCCCAACCCAGCATGGGATCCCAGGCAGAAGGTTAGATTTTGGAGAGCCACTGGCAGGGTTCCTCCTTGCCATCCCCCACCCGTCTGCCCCCTGAGTTACCCTTCCTTCCAATTTTCACAATCTCCAAATATCCTCTGAGTGGGGACAGTCAAGGCCCAAGACTTCCCCTCCAGAATATACAACCATTTGTACTTCATTTGCTTGATAAAAACTCATCCAACCAGTACACAGAGGGTGCCAGGCGATTGCCTGGCCTGAGCAGGTCTGGGGTGTATGGAGTTCCCAGATAAAGATCCTGCCCTCAAGGACCGCCAGGTTTGTCTGGTGGGAGAAGAAGTGAATCTGACCACAAACCCAAAACATAGCTCCTTGCTCTGCAGGATGGGTGTGGGCTCCCAGGAGTTCAGAAAATTCTAGCCACCCACACATTGGCGTCTATAGTGGGGTGGGGGGTGGTGTGTGGAAGGACTGTGGGACATGGAAAAGGTTGGTGGGGCAGTTGGGCTGTTTTTTTTTTTTAAAATGGCCTGGATGAGGTGATGCAGGCAGGGGACCCTAAACAACAAAATGGGTGGGCAACACCCCCAGGTGCCCCTTGAACTCCTTTCCCGTGCCAAGCTGGAGCACATGAGTTGAACAAATCAGGCCAAAAGACAAAGCCTCGGGATTGAACTGCTATTGCTGGCTAGGAAAGGAAGAGGAGGTGTGGCCATAGCAGGTGAAGGAGGTAATAACGCAGATGATGGTAGAGTGTCCTGTCCACTTTGACATGATGTGGCTGAAGATGAATGGCCCCAGGAAATAGTGTCCCAGTGGAGAAATTCTATGCCACCACCCCCTCTGCTCCCCAATTACGTTCCTCATCTTCCTGGCAGCCTCATAGTACTTTAAACTTTGCTGGTCCTGGGGGGCTGGGAGATTGGTCCCACAGGCCAATATCAGGTGTGAATACAGGAACAGATAGGAAGAATGGGGGAGTATGGGAGGAAGCCCCTTCCAGGATAGGGACCCAAGAGTCCCTGTTCTCTGCTAGCATGGAGGGGGTGGGGGGGTCTTGCTTCAGACCTGGGACTGGGCTTTGGGGTTATGGCAGGAAAGCGCAGCGGGCCAGAGGCTGAGGCAGGAACCTGACAGCAGGAAGTGAGAGGAGAAGGCGGACCACTCTCAGTCCCTGAGCATCCAAGCCAGCAGTGTCCAGCTCCCTGGCACCCTCTCCACCATCTCTAGACTCTGACCCCATGGTTGCTAGGCCCTCATGGCTCCCAGAACAGCACTGATGCACCAGAGACAGTCTGCCTTGGGGATAGCTCTGCGGCCCTGGGGGAACGGAGAATCCCATTCTCACCCTGCTTCTGAATACCTGTCCTCCCCACCAAATGCTGGGCAAAGATGCGGGGAGAGGGTAAGTAACTCCTCCCAATGCTCCCAAGCAGGCCGGCGGCAGGTACTGGGGTCCCAAACAAGAATCCTTTATCTCTACCCTGTCCCCTTTACTCTGGAGACCTGCAAGCCACATTCCAAACAAATAACTAAAAGGGAGATGAAGCAACCAACCCATCTCTGGTGCACTGAGGTCCCTATGCTGGAGACAGGGAGAGAACCTGTACCCAGCCCCACAGCCCAGCTTGGGCTCACTCCCTCTCTGGGGCAGGTAGGGGGCTCAGAAGTCCAAGAGGTCCTGTTTTTCCCATTCCCACCTCTGGACTGGGCCACAGTCCTCTGCACTAGCCTCTCTGGGCCCTTGTCTTGACTAAGCAGGGCTGCCGGATGGCACTGCCTGCCCAGGAGTTTACAAACAAAGCCAGGGAAAGGGCCGAGGCTGTGGGGAAGGGAACAGTTCTTCCTGTCTTGGTCCCAACCCCCTTTACCTCCCCTCCTCTCTCCTGGCGCAGAAATGGAAAATTAGGGTGGTCGGGCCAGCGGCCCCACACAAACCAGATGAGCGAAGCAAGAGAGAAAAGAGCACAACCCCCTTGGGGGCCTCAAGAGAATGAAAGACATAGGTAAGGGCTCACACGCCTATAGACCCTCAGATTCACATTTGTTTACACAAATCTACAGATGGAGAATGACATACAAATATACACATTCAAAAACGTAAACACATCCAAATGCTGATGCACACAGATGCTTGCCTGATATACACGGAATGCGGGGCCTTACGGTTCCCAGACCGTAGTCTGACCCGAACCCTGGCCTCTGTGCGGGTTCCTAAGAGCGCAGCCCCAGCCGCCGCAGGCCCCCTCTGGGCC